ATTTTGGTGTAAATCTACCACGTGGCCTCAACCAAAAATGAATATGGAGCATCGCATTGGCGACGAAAACCTGTTGGAACCTAAGAACATATCTTATTTCTGTTGTACATTTAATTTTGTATTGCCAGCGTATCAATCACATAAGCAAGCTGTGTTTATATGTGGTGTGGGAAATGTTTATCGCACAGAGCAGAGAGGATGTGTGTTTTACTCTTTTATATTTATTTATTTTTCTCTGAAACTCCATTTTCACGTGAAATGAGTCATCCCAATTTGAAGTGATGATTCAATTTCACAAACTATTGTTCCCATTATGCCAGAATGTTATTTGGCCCAAATATAAAGGAGGCACAAAAGAGAAAATCCCTGCCTTAAAATTGGCCCAAGAGCCAACAGATGTGAAAGCCTCCCATTGCTTCCTTATTCCATTCCCTCGCAAGCAACAACTTGTTCATACAATGTATGCGACATCACAAAAAATAATACGTGGTGCCAAATGCAGTTCTATCGGCAATCCGGTTATCATATCCCTACTTTCGTCTCAAAGAGGCAATAGCATTGTTCATCCGTCGGCTTATAATTTAATTATAAAGAAAACCCGAAAAAAACAAGAAATAGTCTGTGTATCTCTGACCCCGCGACGCACCGCACCAGCGAAACTGCACCTCGGGGTTAGGCGTTTATTGCGACCCCCTCCCCCCACCAAGCTCCAAAGTGTGAACCTCGGAGTTTCAATTAAATTACAGCAAGTGGCAGCTTTGTTGGATCAAATGACTTATGGGCCATGTCAAGGGCCTGAGCCAGCAAACACAGGAAACAATAAGGTCAGGCAGTGAAGCAGATAAGCCAACTAATGGTGAAAGTTTTCTGCTTATTCTTGAAAGGCCGTAACACTGTGAGCATGACAGCAAGAGGCAACAGGGTTTCCAAGCTGGTTACACAAGACAGGGTAAATCTTGACTTAAAGCTTTCGTGACTGTAGGAATTCGTACTCTTTGGGTCTTTCGGTTAAGTCACGTAGATAGAAAAATAATAATTATGTAATAGAAATAGTATGAAGACAGGAGAAACTCTTGCTGTGGCCCATGCCCAGATAGTAAGTGATGGAAACAGATGAGTTTGCGAAAACTTGCCCTGTAGCTGGGAAACAAAATTGCATTTCGACAACAAAGAGTGGCTTGAGTATATCGGATCTCTTATCGAGACATGTTACATCCGGCTGGGTGCCACTGTGCTTTGAGCACTTGACTCACATCTGCAAGATTACGAGTTTAACACCTAGTGGCGATGGGTTGACTTACCCTGCGCCTCCCTTCTGGATCAAGAAGGTAAAGGTGGAGCCCTGGAATATGCCAGCTCACGCACACGGAGGACTGAAGTTCGGAGGGTATTTTTGGCCTGTTTAACATGTAGGCTTTCGTGAACCAATATTTTTCATAATAAAGGTTTTTGGGTTAGATCGCGTTATTTATAAATGTGTCATAACCCTCCACCACCCGAAACGGCCAATCAGTAAAAAAGTGTCACGTGACACTTTTTTGGCCTACTCTTTCACACCAACCAGACTTCTTGGAAGAGGTGAAAGTACCCAGACTTTAACGCACACCACCCTCGACCGGCAAATCGGCTAACTCTGTGATGTGCCCATTCATGCCGCTTAGGTGGACAGAAGCGGGAGGAATGAATAAACACGACCACTGTTTAAACTGCCACACCGACAGAATGAGCCGCCAACCTCCAGGCTGTCATTGCAATTCTAATAACCATTACTGGTACTAAAGTGAGTAACAAAGTCAACAATCATTTTCCTAGGGAAAATGGCCCTGCCATGGGAACGTGGATTGCATCGCACGCCAGTGGGGGTGCCAGGAGAGAAGAGCGCCCACCTTGATGATGATGATGATGATGTTTTTTTTTTTTACATCGGAGAGGAAAGGACGCCCGGCGACTGGGATTGCTGCCGCGCACCGAGCTCGACGCTACGCGTCACTCTCGCAGCTTGCCTGCCCGCAAGCTGCAAGGCGCAATATTCGCAGACTTTGTAGCTCAAGATGAGGTCAGAGCCAGCTCATATATCCAAACAGCTAGACTCGCGGCCCCCTGATCACACACGGGGCCAGCCTTGATGAAATCACCTTATTTTTAAAAAGAGGCACAGCTCCCTGGTCACGCCGAAGTGATGTTAATGCAACCAACCGAAAAGACCCCCTCGGAGTGTGCCTCTGCTGCGACGGTTTATTGCCTTGCCACGATTGCAGCCTTTCTTTTCCGTAATAACACCGTCGGTTCAAATGCTATGACCTCTGTACAGCAGACGCATGGTGGGCGGAACTTGCTGTAGGGGCAATGATGTACCATTGGTGAGGGTGAAAGAGATTCATACGGTGGATGCACAAGACCCCTGGGATGGCTCTTTCCATTGAAAATCCTCACGCTTTCTTCGCCCTCACGTTTAGATGAGAGAATATCTAATGCCGCGTCGCTGCTGTGTGCACGGAACGCATGAGCGTATGGATACTTTTCAATTATACCGGGTGAAAGCTGACTGAGAACTCAGATAAAGTCTCTCCACGCTCAGACGAGCATTTGGGTCAGCGCTCATCCCCGTTGGCAATCATGAGCCGGCGGTGGAAATTCCTCATTGCTATGGTGGGGGAGCAAGTCTCTCCATGGAACCACTCATTTAAGCAGCCTCAAAAAAATAAACGACCAATGTGAGATCACCCTTGATTGACATTTCAATAACGTGAACCACGAAGGTGGGTTCACTCTGGGTTACTCAACGCGTCACATCCCACCTACATCTCGCTTAAGTGAAGTCACGGGTGTCCCACATTCTCAAGGGTGTACTTTTGAAATGTCGCGTGAACCGGCAGGCCAATCGGGGTTGAGGTGGCATGAAGAAGGGTGGAGCCAAGGGCAATGTTGCTGCAGTGTGCTACCCCAATTGACTAATTTGCAGGTAATTTATCAGCATTGGGATGTTTGTGTGCTTTGAGAGGAACCCAGAAGACGTGGAGGAGACCCATGGAGAACAAACTTCACACAGAGAATCACCCAATTCAGGAATCGAACCCAAGTGCTTCTTGCGACAAGGCACGAGTGTTTACCACTGCGCTGCCACCCTGCCGCTTCGTTTTTGTTGGTGTTTCTTAATATTTTGATTGAACCCGCAACATGATCACAAAGGAGGGTAAACAAATTCGCGAGCAGCAAACGTGTAAATGGAGGACGCGCCCCCTCTGGGAAACTCTCCCCCGAATGGGGGGCCGCGGCAAGACCCTGCCGCTTGGTTAAGTTGCGCCGCGGCGGAGTGCGCACGTTCTAAGGTCGCAACGAAAGCCAAAAAAGCGGTGGGAATCCATCCTAAATCGGGCACCACCCGTTACGACACACCTACAATTCTTGTTAGAAAAGATAATACGATCAAAAGATTGAATTATGATAAAGCCTTCAGAATATACACACAGTGTTCCACTGGTATGCGACAACAGCTCGGGCAGGCGCGTGGTGTTATCCAATTGTCATGGGCACCCAATATATGCACGGTTGGATCGACTGAACATCTCCATATATATATAAAAGGCAAAGTTGTGAATATGTGTGTCTGTTCTAAATGTTTTGCGTACTTCCCGACATGCAACAAACTTGAAATTTTCCATGTGGGTACTTTCCAGACGGTACACCATGCAAAAATTATACAAATACACTTTTGTGTTTTTTTTGGTGAGGGGGAGCTAAATAATGCATTTTGCTTTTGCACGGCAAGTGAGCTGTGACGTCAAATGTCATGTGACCCACGCATGTGGAAGCGTAGTGCATTGCAGTGTCGTGGTTAGCGCACCGCGCTATGAACCCAGCGACCCGAGTTCGATTCCCGCTCACGGCCACCACCGGTGACGATTATTTTAACCGGTCCTGGGCCTCCCCTAGGTCGACTCAGCCTCAAACGAGTAACTGCTGTGGTGTGTGAACATCGCCACTGGGGGGACAAAGGCGGCCGGGCGTGGTGCTGGCCACCCACCCCCTCGACATACAATAAACTTGAACATGGTGAATCAAACTTCCACGTAAATTTCTGAGGTTTGGCAATGAACACACGGGAGCCTTGCTTCCTGGTCCGACGGTTTGTCGCCACACTGATGAGACGTGAATTCATGCCAATACTGAAATAAATGTGGGAAATCGTATAAGCGCACATTATGTTAAAATAAGAAACTCAAAATTATGTTTTATATCAATCAATAATAATATCAGTTCAACAAGGCCATAATAACAAGCAATTATGTGAAGACTTTGAAAAATACATCTGCAAAATTGTAAATTTTGGCTGTTAGATCTCGACACAAGTGACGTGTCTGAGTGTTCCTCACCTTCAAATGAGCAACGATGTATATAACCCAGCTCCGACTGATGCCCTCAGCCAATGTTGGAATTTCTACATTCCCATGGCAGAAGACAATCTTTGCATAGGACAACAACTGTTGACTTCCGATACGACTGTATTATTTTTCCCCACGTGTGACGGTGAGCTGAGCGTTTTTCACTGACCACAGCCTTCGGACTCGCAACCCCATTATTCTCTAACCGCAGCACTGCCCGGCAGGACAATGAGCTGCAACCAACGACAAACAACACTGGTGGCTGAAATAATCTGCTACTTGATGTCACTGGCACGGAGCACAACCATGCATCTCAATGCACGAGCAAATTCCACCTTCGCACATCCTTCCTACAGTCACAAGGCTGAGCCCATTGCGTGCTGCCAACAGGCACAGCGGAGCCCCAGTGGATCACGAACAGAATGGTAACCGAGTGTCCGAGTGTCCAAGCGAGTGGCTTATAAGTGGCTGTGGGTGTGCGCTCGGGTCAACCTCTGCTCACGCGTCCGTGAGCGCCGGCCCTTGCTGCAGATTTAACGCCAACGGGGCTTTAAAAGTGCGTGGGTGGAGGGCGGGGTTAACAAACCGTCGATCTGGTCTGCAGGGGGATGCAGTTACCTTTCTGGGCTGGAAGTCATACTTGACACAGTGCTGGAAGCCCTTCCCTTTGGATTTGAGCGATGTGACGATGAGGCAGTTCCCGACGAAGTGGGCCGAGTAACCCACGCCCTTACTCGTCCTGAAGCTAGACACGAGACAGAAACAAAGATCACCCCCGTTAGAGCCTCACCAGACTACAGACAAAGATTCCCCGTATAGCCTCAACAGACTGTTGGGGGAAGTGCTGTTAGCGACCTAGGGGAGGACTGGTTCAGATAATCATCACTGGTGTTAGCCGTGAGCGGGAATCAAACTCGGGTCGTCGGGTTTGTAGCGGAGGGCACTAACCACTAGACTACCGATCCCCACAAGCACACGCGCGCGCGCACACACACACACACACCGCTTTTCGTCATTGTCATCATCCCCGTCAATCATCACCATCGTGTTACAGATAATGAAATGTCTTTGAAATTTACAAAGAAGAAGCTTCCACTGCGTCTCAAGACTCGTTTTGTAACGAGAGTCCTACATTGGGATGTTACGGAATGTGGGAGGAAATCAATCAATCGGTCTTTTTTTCATATCGTGCACTGCACATCAAAAACAGTCATCTCACGGCCCTTGACATCAAATAAAATTTACTTCAATGAAACCCAAGTACCCAGAGAGAAAACACACAAACACACGAAGGGATACCACTGAAAGCTCTGCACAGAAGGCTCTGGAAGGTAATTTATGTACCGCCATCTCCTCATCTCCAGTCCACCTCATTATTTTTGTATGGGTGGCCCCTTCCCCTGAAACAAGGCAACTCAACGTATTCCTCAATAACACTGCCCTAAAAGGATAGACATACACGAGTAAAATCCATCAATAGCTAAGGTTTTGGACAATAGTGAAATTTCGAGATCATCATTCACTGCAAAGAAGAGAGGTAAATATATATTTTTTTTTATTTTAGTGCACTGGTGTTATTGACAGATGTGTTGAGCTTTCTGTCAATTGATGTGTGCTTGTGCACCACTGTCCATGTTGAACTTATTTCACGCCGTACATAGCCAACCGTGCGAATATGAGGTGCGGGGGAAGGTCAAACTAAACATAAAAATAAATTATTTTTCAATCTAGATTTAACAATGTATATTTCCAGCGGCTTCCTTATATCGGAAGTAGGAGAGTTCCAGACGGCCGCAGATGCGCATCTGAAAGCGCATGATGCAGTGACCGTCTTTGTTCAATGGTTAGCCAAAAGCTGCTGCGATGATGACCAGAGTTTGCGTGATGGTTTATGCTCCTTGACCAAATCAGCAAGGTATTGTGGTTCATTTGTGTCAACCACTTTGTGTGTAATGAGTGCGACCTTATCATGTATTCGTTCAGCAACCGGAAGCCAATGCAGCTCACTGAGCACTGGACAGGTCGAATCTTGCAGTACCCGTCATGGCACATGCCAGAGAATTTTGTGCATGCTGAAGCTTGGTTATGTTTTTGCCAGACGTCCCCAAACCTTGTCGATACCATTCCACACAAGCAAAAGTGTGCACGTGGAATAGTGGGCCGCACGTACCAGTACAGGTAAGGCTTGTCTTTGTCCACGTTGATGTTGTTGAGCGGGTCCATGCGAAACCACGTATTGAAGGTGAAGCCATTCTGGTAGGGCCACTTGGCAATGGGTGGCAGGGCGATCGCCTGTTGACAGAATAGGATGCGCACAGCGAGCAACAGAGACTCGTGCTCTCATCCCGTACGGCACGACATTATTGTAGTGCTGCCGCTGCTGTAAAGCTACCAAAATGTTGCACGTAAAAGGTTTTGTGGAAAGTCTGCAAGCAAAAAAGGTCAATTTTGCGATGATAAAAACACTATTGTTAAATTTCCAGAAGTCGACAACAGTGGCAGAAAATGGGATGCGTTTTTCCTTCGAATAACAGACATTTTCTACCGGTAAAATGTTCTTGCTTTGCAACCAGACATACCTTTCTAATGATGATACAGCAATGCAGCAAAGGAATTACACGAACTATTAGTAAAGATGAACGGTACTTTAACCAAATAAAAGCGTACAAAACAATTATTTCCTATAATGTCATCATCTCTCCCCCTTAATCTCGATCACCCACCCTTATCTCCTTATTCTGGTATTGAATTTTGCGAAAGGTCTTTAAATGGTTCCAACAAATAATTTATTTCTCTACATTTTTTCTATCACGTAAACATGGATTCCTTATGGCCACGTTATCGAAAGCCATTTTTCGTAAAATATGCAGTCGTGAAAAACCACGACTACTTAGGAATGCATAAACGGAATACACAACCTGAACACACACGCCTAAATTTAAAGTCAAGCACATACCAGAAACTTTGAGCTTCACTTTGACTTGCATTAAAAACAAACATAAAGTATAACTTTTGTTGTATGCATATAAAACACAGAGACATGCATAACACATTTTCTAAGAACATGTGTCTGCAAATTGGAGCTATACCGCATTCCTGAGGGAACAGCATGGACCGTCCGCGTACGAACTACACAATTTTAAAGCCACGCTTTCTGCTCCAGTCCACCGATTACCGGGCACAGTTGATGCAAGACAAATAAAATTGTACCTCACACACATTAATGGCACGACGCTCCGATGCATAACGGTGTTCAATCCATTTGCAAATGTCACCGAATCACTTTGGAGAAACTCTTTGTTTGATACAAAGGGTTCTGGTCTAATTGGCACACAAAAGGGCATTTTCACAGTTACACTGTAGATCTTTTTTTATTAAAATCATTACAACTTCGTTAAATGCAGCAATAGGAGGTAATCAGCAGCCCGGGATGTCCACGAAACTGGCCAATTATTGAGGGATTCCATGCCCAAACACAAATCCATGGGTTCCCTTCTACCAGCAATGGTTAATAGCAGTGGTACAATGGACAATCTGCCCCCCCCCCCCCCCCGCCATAGGACTGTGGAAATTATTCCACTAGCTCAAGACCACTGAGAGAGAAGTGCACAGGCCTCATCATCATTTTGGCACAGCGCCACTGATTTGATTCGTTTTTTGTTGTTGCGAAAATATTAACCCAGCCGAGATGGCCCTATGCCTAGGGCCCTAAGCTCTCAATGCATAGGTGGCATGTTCAACTTCTGGTCAGAGGTTCACTGTAATAAAATATTTCCCCTCTCCCTGCTCCAAGGCGAGGTAGTTAACATCTCGCCACCATGGCACACAGTGACCAAGGGGGAAACCGGAAGCCAGATGTTGGACTAAATTCAGAGTGAACCGCTTTTCCCATGTAAGATTGGACCTTTAGGAGGTCAGATATTAACCATGCAAAAGCCGTGGGATCTGGGAAAAAATAAAGCAAGCTATCGTAAGATGTGGTGCCATCAATACCATTGACTGCGATGACCCGCTTTAATTGCAGCGAGCTCAAGTGGGTCTGACCAGTTTCTTCACAGTACTCAGTTGTTGTCAATGCCAGCATTTAAAAAGCAGTAAAGCCCAAGTAGCCCCGTTGCATAATTGTAAATTTCAATGATAGCCAGCCAGGGAGCAATTGTGTTCGCTACAGCAGGAGAGTGTCAGGAAAACATTCTAGGCAGGGGTTAATTCAACTCAACTTCCCTCTGATGCTAATAAGATAGATACTAGTTTCTTCTTATTATAATCCAGAAGTGGTTGTCCTATATAGATAATGGTCCTTGCCATAAGAATGAGGAGTGTTCACTGCTGGGTCGTGGCCACCAATGAAATGAGCACTGCCCCACATCTGATGCTTATGTGATAACTGGAGATATTTTGACTTTGGCTTTTAACCTAGGTTTAAGCAAGTTCACGAGAGGGCATTTGGACCACTGAAAATTATTATGCAGTACAGTGAATCTGCCACGATGCAAAAGACTTCAAATAATTATCTTTTTCAGATAAACAAGTGGTACTCCTGTTGAAATACAGCATCTACTTTCTAAGATAATGACATGTACAATTAGATTCAGTGAGCAATTAAACGCCAACACATAATCCATCAAAGCCAAAGCAGATTGGAAATTTGACAAATAGAAGATTTGAATTATGACATGGTTGCGGACGGTACGATCTAGAGGCATTTGTATGTATCTACCAGTCAGTCACCCCAACAGCTAAAAGAAATGTAAGCATCAACTATTATAGCAAAATCACCAATCGCATGAATGTTATTTGCCATTTAAATATTTTACACAAGTTCAGAAGCTCAGAGTAGCAGTGCATATTCATAGGGCGCCACGGTGGCGAGATGTTAACCATCTCTGCTGGCATACAGGAAGACCCTGACGCCTTTATATTTGGAGTTTCCATGTTCTCCTCGTGGTTGCATGGATTCTTCTCTGCATCCTTTGGTTTTTCCCTCCATATTTAGAAACATGTGTTTCGAGTATTCGGCTGCTATAAATGTCCACATGATAAGCCACTTCATTGAGCTATGATTTGTGGCCAGGTCGCTTCTGGAAAAAAAACCTTTCTATCTCAGTGGGCCTTACCTGGTAAAATAAAAAGTAGTTATTATTAATATTACATATCTCGCGTCATGACTTTGTCACGGTGGATTGAGAGGTGTAGTTACATAATTTAATTGTGTTTGACTGACAACACTAAATTTATTTTAAAAATTTGTCGCTGACAGCACGATAGGGCTGAGAATTTCTTAATAATGAATCATTTGTTGGGAGCGTCATTTCTCCCTATGAGTGTGTCAAATGACACACTAACCTACGCCTGCAATCTACTGGCACGTACACAGTGGCGTTCCCACGAGGAAAGATGGAGGTTGACTTAAGACTTAAGATAGGCCACATCCACAGGGAGCAAGGAGGGACACAAATTAACAAACGAACACGAAGACCTGACCTCGATTGATTCGCAACTCTTAATTGTAAATTCTCAGCTTGCGCGTCAAAACAACAACTCATTGACAATGGCAAATAATACTGCGATAATGGAATAGAGGGAGAAAGAGATACTAAGCAGATTAATTTTGAGTAATATTTTGATGTATATATTTAGTTGCAGTGGTCTCTGATATGCTGAATTCTAAACACCCTAAAGGGTAATGAGATGGCTTTGCCTGTGCCAGCTCACTTGCCTTTTATCGTGAAGTTGCAAATGCAAAGGTTCACAAGCCAAATAAGAATTTAATTTAAAGTCAAGCGTTCTCACGTCTCAGTGACCTAAGTTCAATTTCATCTTCAGCACTAAGTTAAGGCTTCTGGGGTAACTCGATAGGGGCAAAAGTGAGTGTTCTGTTATAGCCAAATTAACCAATGTGGATGTGAGTGAACCATTGGCCACACATTTATGCGCGATATTTCTTCACAACTTAAAACAAGGAATGTTAGACTTTCTTCTTCACAGTGCCTCCATCATCTTGAGAAGTTTGGCAAAAGAGTAATTTTAAAATCCAAAATCCCTTTAATACATACAGTTACTGAACCGTGGATACGGGGATTATGAATCCTGTTTTGCTCACCCGCATGACAAAAGTCGACAATTTTGAAGTGAACCAAAATGGGGATGCAATTCTCACCGCGTGCTATGGAGCGTGGAGCAGCGGGCCAGAGTGGGGCGTTAACCCTTTCCCATTCCGATGACGTTCTTGTACGTCGTAGGAAAAATTATAATAAGCGGTTAATTCAACTCAACATCCCTCTGGTGCTAATAAAATAGATATGACTTTTTATGAGAAAAAAGTGGTTGCCCTATATAGATACTGGTCCTTGCCATAAGAATGAGGAGTGTTCACTGCTGGATCATGGCCACCAATGAAATGAGCACTACCCCACATCTGATGCCTATGTGATAACGGGAGATGTTTAGGCTTTTAATCTCAGTTGTAAGCAGGTTCACGAGAGGTCATACATCATCTGAACGGATTCGGAAGAAAAACTAACAAAATAACTTTATCAGTCCCGAGGATCCCACAAGGCCATACAGGAGGGCGTTGGGCACAGTTTGGCGCCAACTATCATAGAATGCGGTCGTGTCACTGGAGTTCCCTAAGGTGAGTGCAATGTCTTTAAAAATAACGGCACGCTATGCATCTCTAAACATAGTTAATGCTAACCACTTACGCGTTCTGAGATTCAGCAATTTGCAAACGTCTCAGAACGGGAAAAGGTTAACATCACCAGGGACAATCTTCAGGAACATTATGGCATAGATAAGGTATCCATCTCAGTATCCATCCATCACCACAATCGACAATATGAATAATTAATTACCAGCATAAATAGACCTTGCTCACCTCACGCTGAATGTCTTCATTACTATATTGACACCAGTGTTTGAAATCTATTTATTTGGGATAATTATTGATAAAATGTAGATTTTATTGTACTGATGTGAAATGTTCATATTTTATTATTATAGTTTTTATCACGTAACTTTAATATGGTACCAATGCTTATTTATTACCAGTCTAGCACATTGATTCATAATTTTACATTATCAAAATTTCAGGCCCTTTAAACTCCCTACAATGTTTCTGCTACCTTATAAACGTGTATCAATCACATTACTCCTCACACCCTTGCTAGGGGAGAATGGAATAGCTATGATTGGGGTCCTGCAAGATTCCAGATAATGGTCCCTTAGAATCTCAGCTGCTAGCTGAGAAAATTATATTTTCCAAGTAAATGTGTGTGTGTATATCTAATCTCACACGTACCGTGTTCACGCACCACACTGTAGGTCACCTCACCTCTCTTTCTGCTTCTTCCCTCGCACTGCTCCACATTTGAATTGCTTCCCATCGTACATTTTGTCCGAGTGCTCTTTTTTAACCTTGCTCAAATTCTATTACACCTTCGATAGTGCTGTTTACTGCTGGCCTGCTTGGTGTTTGGTTCCTAGGATTCGGCAAGGTCCCACCATAGAAACGTGGAATTTTCACCACTGGCCGAAGGCTGCCAAGATGGAGATGAGCCACTCCCTAATTGTCACATGAGCAGGGGGGCACGCAGACTTGTTTTTGGTGTGCGTGCAAATCCTATCACGCTTGGGCACTCAAAATAAATCTACCGAAATATAATGAACATTTCTGATCTACATAATTGTATTCATTGAAATGAATACAAATGTTTAATAAACAATCACTCTTAGAGTTCCATGTAAATGCATCCTACCGTACATGGGAAGCGGGGGGGGGGGGGGGAGGAATGGAAGAGGAATGGTGATCATCCCACAAAACCAGGTCCAATTGTTGGACATACACAACACCGATACTTGTTACGTGAGAACCTCACCTGAGCCTCCCTTAAGTTGACTCGGCCGAAATTTCTAAGTTTGTGCTGACGCCAACATCAACACGGGTGAGACACAAGTGGCCCAGTGTGGTGTGGGCTACCCTACCCCTACATATACATGCCAGTTCACAGCCTTAATAGTTGCTTGCTGACAGCCCTTGGTCCAAATTTATAGGAGGCTTAAAGAGGAATTTCATCATGAATACACAGTGCGCAGCACGTACACCAAAAGTATCGGCAATAGTTTAATCATGAGAATGAGACAGCAGCTTGAACTGCGCGGTTGAAAACTGGGTTTTGGAAGATAAAGGGTATATGCTACAAAGTGTAAAAGCTTCAGCGATTTTCAACTGCACAGAATACATACCATGCGCATATTGTTAACATATTCGTGCATAACACGGCCTTGAAGGAAAACATGCAATGGGTGACATCTTCTTCATTGCACAGTCAGGTGCCGAAACGTCACTGATAATATATCTATTTTTTTACCCGAGGCAGTGTTAATTGACGAACGTGTTGAATTTTTTGTTATTTGTGCTTGCGCGCGCCACTGCCAGTGCAGCGTCACCGTACATAACCTATATATATGTGTGAAACACAGTGTACGCGTGTCGGCATATGCGAGCCACTCACGGCAGCGCTGCGGCCGGGGAAGTTGAAGAAGGTATCCGGGCCCTGCCGCTGCGTCATCTGCGTGAGCACCGTGAGCAGCTTGATGGCGTGGCGCGGCTGAGCGAGCAGATTGAGCGGGCGGGCGGGCAGGCAGGAGGGCGCGTTCCACCACAACGAGGAGGGCAAAGCCCCACCGTGAGACCAGCACAATGGGGCACACGACGGGAGGCGTGGGGTGAAAAGAGCAAAAAAAAAATTGGGCACACGCGGTTCACCACTCCAAGCTGATACGAGCTGGCGACGTTGCGGCCATGGGTGGTTGTGGGGGTTTAAGTTGTGCGTAGGTTCAGGGTCGATGCAATCGTCAGATCGGAGTTAATAAAATAGGTACCCGTTTTGTGATGGATTCAACTCCTGGATCGGTGGGATTTCCACAACTGGCTTCAGGGCCGCTCGCGGAGATGACCACCGATCCAGTGCTTACTTTGATGCAGGCTTCCAATGTGCACATATTCCCCTTCGGGCACGCATCCACACGTACGCTCCTGGACACGCGGTAACCAAGCGCTGCCACTACTACCACTCCCACCCACCGCTGCGCTGCCCACACACCGCTACTGCTCCCACCCACTACTGCCCTTGCCCGCCCACCGCTGCCCCTGCCCACACTACCCTGCGCAAACCTCCAGCACGGCATCTGCACACGCAGACGGCGATGCCCACCCGTGCCCACCCGTACGTCCCTCGGCGTGACCGTACCCAGACTCCGTCGTGCCCGTGCAGCATGCTGAAGAGCAGCTTCAGCTCCCGCACGGTGATGCTGTAGCTCGCCAGCACGCCCAGCATGTCCACCAGCAGGTCTGCCGGCACGGCAGCAGGGAGAGAGCGCACGGTCAGGCACGCGGCGGGGCACATTTCAAATCTCTGCATTGACCGACACCACTTTAAACAGAGAAACGGCAATGTTGGTGGCGAGGATTGATTTTAATCTGTCTCAATTCCGTTTACCGATGTGGTGTAATGGTCAGCACATGGGGCTTCAGTGCCTTCCCACAACGCGGCAGGCTGTTTGTTAGCCCGCACCCCCACCGCCACCGCACCCCCTCTGTTCATCCAGCAGCATTAATGGGTACGCTACAGTTCGCCGGTTTGGCAGGTCACGTGTGGTGCGGTGGAGCGTGGGTACTCCAAACTCTTCCGAAAACATCTAGCTAGTGTGGAACAGGAGGCCAAAAAAAACTTCATAGGTAACTATAAACCACAAATGATAGCGCAACAAAGCGGTTTAATCACGTGGAAATGAATAGCAGCCAAAATACTCTAAATGCATGTTTTTAAATGTGGGAGGGAAAAACCGGAGGACCCGGAGAAAGATACACACCACGGGGGGGGAGAGAGACCATGCAAACTCCAAATGTACAGGCGTCAGGGTCAGGGATCGAACCCACGGTGGTCTCCTCCATACCAGGCGAGGGAGTTAACATCTCGCGGTGGAGGCCTTTCCACCAGCAGCGGTGTGCGCAAGTTTTTGCAGGGCTGTGCCACCCCAATTCTGCGTAGACCCCCCACAATGCACAGTTGGCCGAATCCTGAATGAGGGTTACAGGCACGGCCCATCTTCCCACCAGAGTCATTAAAATGTGTAGCACAACTGTGTACCAGCAAGCGAGAGGTCAAATGGTTGCAGCCGGGTTTGCGGACTACATGTATGCATGTCAAATGTATTTTTTTTTTTACAAAAAGGGCTGAGCATGTTGTGCACGTGTATTACGTGAACTGTACACACGCTACCAATGCAGCCAACTCCACTGCCAGTGGCTGCATTGGTTTTGAGCGTAATTGATCGGCGCTGTTTTTTTCAGTCATGTCTACTCGATCTCCTTTACTGTTTAATGGCACCGTACAACTGATTCAGACCATTACTCTAATCTATTTGCCTCACGCTTTACCGTGGGGTTAACCGTCGTAATCAGCATGTAAAGCTGAAGGCATTTCACTCGGGCCTGCTCGTCAACCGCAACGAGACAAACAAACACGACCAATCAAAGAACCGCGCCGCTTAAATTCCACCCCCCTCCGCATTCCGCTGTAGCGAGATCGCCGAGCTCACGGGTGTGAAATTGCCTCCAACAATGTTCGAATCCATCCATCAAACCGTCCATTCCACAGCGAGAGTAATGAGCACTGTAAATAACGCGTGCAAAAATCTACGCCCCGCACGACGCTCATACGCTGCGACAAAAAAAAATGGCACTACCGCCTTCCTTCCTCCACCCGCTCTGGACACAAGCTCCGCCCGTGTGGAATTCAATGAAGCCCGTTAGGCAGAAGCCACAGGGAAGCAACGGTCAGCACACTGGACTTTGCGATCCAGAGGTCGCCGGTTCAATCTGCCCGTGCGCGGTAGTTGAAATAAGGGAGCAGGCTTCTCAAAATCTCCCCACCTGTATCCACCCGGCTGAGGTGGGACACTTCAGTTGGGTTGATCAGCATGCCAGTGTGGAAGTATACTCTCTCCAAGGGCTCTTGAGAGCTTACCTCTATTGGAGGCTCTTTTTAAAATCTAGATTGAAAACTAATTTCTTTTGAATTGCTTTTTGCGTTGAGTTTGTTGTTCTTCCCCCACACCTCCGATTAGCACGGTGAGCTACGTACGGTGCAAAAGAAGTTCAACATTCATACATACAACAATGGTGTGAGATGGAAATTGCAGGTTGCACCTTTATCTTTATTTATGGGCAGAAGAGATTACTTTTGTTTGGTTTCTCCAGTGCACTCATCTGCCCTCGGCATGTGTTGTGACTATTATTATTTGCTCAAAAAGCCTCGTAGGATTTTAACCGCTGGGGTTTGATGGAAGGGCAAAGTATAGGGAGCCAAATTGAAGCAACCAAATGCAGCACAGATGCCAACTTAAAAGCAGAAAAGAAAATACATCAGCCATGGTCAATGCACTACTGGATGAAGGCCTGCCCAAGATTCCACTATCTGTCACGATTCCACGTTCAGACAATCCAGCCAGCACCTTCCCTTGCTGCATTTCCTCGATGGCCTTGCTCTGGGATGCGTTCTATTTCCTGCCTGCCACTTCACTGTTCTTCACCATTGGTCAGCATCGCTTCTTGACATCTCCTACCCAAGCCCACTTACTTTACTTCACGGTTTTAATGATGCCGTGAACCTCATGTTCTCTAATTCACGTGTTCCTCTTTTTGTCACTTAATGTTTTACAAGCATGCAACTCTCCGTGCTTCCTTGCACACTTTAAAGTTTTTCCTTCATGACTTTATTCATGTTTATGTCTCTGAACAATATTATATAGCAGGTAGTATGCATAAATTAAAAACATACGAAAAAACACGCATTATTCAAATCAGTTTATTTATTAACAATAGAACTGGCCCAGGTGGCACTGAGTGCCTGACTCGCAATAGGAAGAACCGGAGTTCGAATCCTCGTCAGAAGTCGATCAAATAATTAATCTCTAAGACCACTGCATGGGAAGTCGGCGGCGGCAGCAGCTTGCTCTATGGCCATTGTGCCAGCCAGATGAACGTTGAATTTCCAGCAGTGTGTCAAGGCCACCAATGAATAAGAGCACACTTTGGAGATGTTTCAAAATATATGCATAATAGGTTTAATATTTACATACAGAATATAATTGCTCAAATGTACACACGTGAACCCACGACGGCCATACATCGTGGGATGCGGACCAGTTGTTGTTTTGCAAGTTAAAGAGATAAACTGCAAAGTGAAGCTTCATGCAATGTGAAAAATAACTACAAAGAGAATGGACAGCATATTCCAGTGTTTAAAGTCAAAGTCTTCCAGTGGTTATGAATGCCAAATAAAATATATGATCGCTCTTCTTGGTTCTTGCGGTAAAGTCACGTAGAATGGAAATAAAATAATAAAAATAAAACATAATAAAATAAAATTCTCACGACGTTTCGGCCACAACACAAGTAACCTTCTTCAGATGAAGGAACAGAACTGTTCCTTCACCTGAAGAAGGGACGACAGACAGCACTGTCATCCTGACAGTTATGTTCCTTCACCTGAAGAAGGCTACTTGTGTTGTGGCCGAAACGTCGTGAGAATTTTATTTATTTTGTTTTATTTTTATTATTTTATTTCCATTCTACGTGACTTTACCGAAAGAACCAAGAAGATTAATCCCTGCAGTCACGAAAGCTTTAAATCGAAATATATGATCGCTATTACTATTAAAATATACTATTTTTAGTTCTCCACCTTCACCATGGCAAAATGTCACACCTATCCGTTATACTGTACTGTACATGCATACATCTCCCCCAACCATGCTGCTCCTCAAACGTTAATAAATTCAGGAAATCGTCCATCAGCTCGTATAGCTGCCCGCATCGCTCACCAACACAGTCAAGCCACCAAGACATCCGTCCAAGCTTCAATTTCGCTCGCAGCCCTTGACCACCGCTAAAGCGTCACGATGAACCCGGTCCGTCTCGCATCCATCTGCGTAATTTTTTTTTTATACGCACAGGCTAGCTCTCCATTACTCCGGACTCAGCTCAACGGCAACACCCTCCTTGGCCCTGGCCGATGTGAACCGCAGCGGTGCCGTTAATCAGACCACGCGGGAGCGTGCGCAGTGCACGGCGTCCACAGCGAGAGGCAAAGACAGACGTATGAAGCACAAAGTCGTTTGACGAGGCTGGGCCACGCTGTTCGCTTTAAATGTAATGGACGGCGGTGGGGAGCCGAATGCTACATTGTCAAGGCACATTGCAGAGACTAACAGCGAGAACACGTTGCCACCCTTAATTTTTAAAAAATATGCAAAATTACTGTATTTCATTGCCGTTCATGATCTGGCCCAATGGCACAATGGTGAGGGAATGTGACTCGCAATCAGCGGTTTGCATTGCAACTCCCCCATCGTCCTTCTGGCGTTGATAAAAATGTGTACTAATTTTGGGAAAGTCAAGAGCGGTAGTCCAACAGTGACTGCCCCCACCATATAAATGTAGAATTTCCACCACTGGCTCGGTTCGGAAACTGAGTCGAGTTTCTCTATTGCCCAGAGATAGTCTGCATTTTTTTACTTATACAGTATTTTATTTTTCAGTCCAGCAATGCTCCTTTAATATGCGGAGCATTGACATTCCGGGAGTGGTATCGTTCTGGCTCACAGATGGGGCCCACCCTTTAGCTGTACGAGCTACAGGAATGTAAAAATTAATCTGACAAATCCCAAAGGAAAGTTTTTTTTTTTTTTACCGAGCTCCAGTACAAAAGTGGAATAAGGTTCGAAAAAAAAGACAACCCTGTCATTCCCTCAAGCTTTTAGGATTCTCATGGGTCCCAATTGGTGAAAGGGACTTTTCGCTTTTTCTTTATCTGCCATTATATCCCCCTGCTCCTGTGGATAAATGATCAGTGCACTGCCCATGCAATTGAGAGATCGCAGGTCCGATCACCTGGCACGGCAGTTGAGGTAATGGAGCAAGCTTCTTCAATACCCCAGCCTCTATCCCACCCAGCAGCATATTGTATGGGTACACACCAGAGTTCGTTGACAGGCAGGTCGCAAGTGGTGGGGTAGAATGTGGGTACTCCCACTGCTTCCGAAACATCTAGCCAGCGTGGAAGATTACCTGCACAATTAGCACCTCTTTATCACCGCCGTTCACTCCGGAAGCAATGCATGCTATCCCACATCGCAAACATTAGCCAGGCATGGCGGTACAAGCCTTAAATCCAGCGCTTGGAGGCAATAGTTGGTGGATTATATGGATTTCTGAAACTCACATGATCTGGCCAGAAGATGGCAGTACAACAGGTGGGTCCATGACCCCATCTTATTATCCCCTTA